TCATTAAAAAATCGATTAGATACTTTCCTCTGAGTTTTGATGGGTGAATTGTACAGTCTCGTATGAGCCAGAGCAGGATAATTACATCTTTTAGGCTTAAAAACAAATGGGCATTTTTAATGTTTAGTTTTCACTGGTCATAATCGTGTCCGATGGGTGCGGATGAAAGCTGAGAAGTCCTGAAGGCATGTCATTGTCATTCACATGTGCATATTGCATCATAAACTAGAAACACATTATCTTCCATGATGTTGAAACAAGTAAGGCTGCTATAAAATGTTGCATTCAGCAGATTTCTTCTGAGATAAAAGATTGAATTAGCGATAAAGAATAAATTCCTAAGTTGTTATCTGCAACCAGTGGGTGTGATGACCCTAAACTAAGATCCAAAATGTTATTATAGTGTTCTTCAGAATCTCATCTATGTCACATTCTTTTTGTAGAGATCTACCATATTTGTGGTCACAGATAACGAAGTGTGAACTTTCTCCATTCTCCGATAAGAGAGAATGTTCACTGTGGTTCCATTGCTCCATCTTCAGTAAACATCAGGTTCTTCTGGAAATGAGGAGCATGGGGCCTCCTGCCAAAATGCAGTGCTCAGGCCAATTGTAAGTCCAAATATTAGTAATTGACGGGGTGGTGGAAGGTTAACCCTGTGTAAGCTCAGACACCATCGGACCGATAACTTACCCAAGGTTAGGACTCCAACAGAGTAAGAAAGCAAAGGAGCAGAGGCGGAATATTAATCAATCTTTTTCTTTCAGTCAACCTGTTCCTTCTAAAAACGTGTACAGTATGTAGCAGCTCACAGTACTAACCCTCCCTCAGGATGAATTATTGCAGGCTGGTAGCAAGACAGATTCAGATACTTACAGTAGCTGGATTCAAATACATTTACTGTTTTTTTTAAACAACTCCAGGCATAATAATTCTTAATCCTTGCAGTGGGGCACCCCTGTACTGCAAGGGTTAAGTGCTCATTTTCATCTAGGGAAGAAAATAAAAAAGTTATACCCACCTGACCCTCACAGCTGGCTGGCTGTTAGACTGGTCCTTGCCGCCTGTCTCCTCCTCTGCTCTGGCAATCTATGGTTCTTTGAGCCATCATGTCCTACACAGTATATTGAATGTGAGGACACCGAGGAACATTCTCTTGCTGGAGTTGAGGGGAAGACAGGTGACAGGGACCGGTCCAGGTACAGGTGAGTATATCTTTTCATTTTCCTTCATAGATGATAACAAGCACTTAACCCTTGCAGTGCAGGGGTAGCCTGTGTGTGATTTTTTTGGTCACATTTATTTCCTTCACATGTTGCATTTATTTAATTTGTAAATAACGTTGCAATATACTAGAATCCTAATTTGAGTTTCGTTTAAACAAGCTATAGAATAAAATGTATATTTTTTTTCTACAGTAATAATATTGTTATTAATCTAGTTATAATATAAAACATATTACCAAAAGAAAGACTTGTTAGCCTTAAAAAAAAGTAGTCTTTTGTTATCTTAAAGTGGACATTTACCCCCTCTCACTAAAAATCACATCAGCATCAGCTCTGCATGCTGATATGAAATTATTTTACATTCATTAGTTAAATAAACAGATTTTTCTTATATTTTTATCATTTTTTATTGTTTATCTACTTCCTGGTCCTCTTAGGCATTAGTGATGTAGCTCATGCCTAAGAGATGCATCATGGAAAGGTTACATCACAGTGCATTGCTGGGAAATCTCAGCTGTAATCTCACAAGATCTCAGGGAAATGCATTTTCCTCCCCTGAGGTGATGTGTGTGGTCACATGTCCTAGTCACATGTGCCAGAGTTCCAGGGAGTAATGGGAGATAGATTAATCTTCCCTTAATAAAATTGGCCAATGTGAGAAGAATGAGGAGAAAAAGAAATAAAAAGAATGCAAAGCCAGCAATTATCTAGAAGTATGTGTCTGTAGATTGTCATTACTAAAGACAAACAGAATACAAGAAAGAAAACAGCATAAAGATCCAAGGCAAGACTAGGTTACAAAATTCAAGGTATACAAGATCAAGTACAGGCTTGTGTGGACACAGCAAGACAAGACAAGGCTGAACTAGGCTGGAACTATCATAAGCCCAGAGCCCTGGGTTTGTGATGCTTAAATAAAGTACAACTAACCAAAGCCCAGGCTGTGATGGGCATGTAGCCAGGACAGGTAGCCATGTAGCCCGCAGCTGACTAGATTGTGGTAGGTGCAGTTACAAGAGGCAACCACCAGACAGAGCTGAGTGGTTGTGACAGGCATATGAGCATTTGGCATGCTCCTAACACAGAAGAGACAGCCGGGAAAGAGAGAGGAGAAACAACCAGGAGCGAGAATGAGGCGGGATAGTGAGCAACACATCTGCGTGAACCCCTGTGCTCTCCAAGACTTATCTGCCTCCTATGTTTCAGACCCCTCCTTGCTCCCCGAGTTCCAGTGTCCCTCTGAGTCCCATGCCTCCTCATTGCGCTCAAATTGGAACACCAGGCCCCCGTGGTTTCCCCTGTTCACCTGACATTGGACTGTCCAGGTGAACCCTAGACAGCTGGAAACCCTATTGTTGAGCTAGTCACAGTGAGATGTTTCTGATCTTTCCACCAGCTCAGTGACTAAAAACATGGCGCCTGCTGTTGCTGTGTTTCATTCGGGGTTATAAGGGTGTGTCCAGGCACACCCAGGACATCAAGCCAAATTGTCATCGCCGTGGACAACGCTGGACATTGTGATTGACCTTAGGGTTACGTCGGTGGATCAATTTTTGAGATTTGTTTTTTCAATTAAAGGATTTTTAAAAAAAATTTTTAAAACGTGTGGGCTCTTTATTTACATTTTTATTGTTCCCTTTAGCGAATGAATAGAGGTACAAGTACCCTTTACCCATTCACAAGGGGGGGACAGCATCTAGGTGCCCCCTTTATTAAAGGGGGTAACTAGATGCAAAAAAGCCCCCCCTCCCGCAGACCCACACAACCAACGGATCAGGGTTGTGGCGGAAGAGGCCCTTGTCCCCATCAGGGACAATTGATGGAGGTTTGGCTCAGCCGATCCAGATGTTGCATCGGCTAAGTCGAACGTGTTCTTCACTTCGGCTCAGCCCAACATGCTGTGCATGTTGGGCTGAACCGAAGGTAGCTGAAGCCAGCCGATGTACGGCTGATTTTAGCTGATGTACGGCTGAAATCAGCCATACAGGGCCGAAGTGAACAGCCGAATGGCGTACAGCTCACTTCACTTCAGCTTGGTTATTCACTGGGCTTCCTTAGGCAGCCCAGTGAATAACCCCCAGATTTTTCCGCTGAGCACTGACGGAGGACGGAACAGCCACACATAGGCATCTCCGCCTCCCAGCTTCTTAGCTCATCTCAGCTCTGCCCCTGGCTCCTCCCAGCTCCACCTCCTGGCTATGCTTCTAGGCTCCCTGCTCTGCCTCCGGCTCCTCCCAGCTCCACCCCCTGGCCCTGCTTCCTGTCTCAAACTCCTGGCTCTGTCTCCTGACTTTGCCTCCCTGCTAAGGAACCCAAAGACAACCAGTGTAAAAGGGCACTCTGATGGGGACAACCAGTGTAAAGGGGCACTCCGATGGGGAGAACCAATTTAAGGGGCACTCTGATGGGGACAACCAATTTAAGGGGGCACTCCGATGGGGACAACTAGTGTAAAGGGCACTCCGATGGGGACAACAAATTCAAGGGGGCACTCCGATGGGGACAACCAATTTAAGGGGGCACTCTGACGGTGACAATTAATTATTATTTGCCCCCTTCATTGTGCCCCCAATAAATTGGTTTCCCCCATCAGAGTCCCCCCTTACTTTTACAGTTAATGTGTGGAGGCACACTGATAGGGGACAGCCAATGTAATGGTGACATGCAATGTAAGGGGGCAATCTGAAGGGGAAAAACAATGTAAAGGGGCACTCTGATGGGGACAGCTGATATAAAGGGGCACTGTAATGGGGGGAAACTGATGTAAAGGGACACTCTGATGGAGAAAACTGACGTAAGGGGGCACTCTGATGGGAACAACTGATGTAGAGGGGCACTCTGATGAGAAGAACTGATGTACGGGCAACTCTGATGGGAGAACTGATGTAAGAGGGCACTTTGGTGGGGAGAACTGAGGTAAGAGGGCGCTCTGATGTGGAAAACCGATGTAAGGAGGCACTCTGATGGGGACAACTGATGAAAGGGGGCACTCCGATGGGGAGAACTGATGTAAGGGGGCACTCTGATGGATGCTGTACTTTTTTCAGAGAAGCCAGCCACGATGTGGTACATCCACATCACCCTAGGCTGTGTTTATAGAATTTAATGAAATGTCACTTGTCAAAGTTCTAACAAAAAAAACTGTGATGTGCTGGGATCGATGCATCAGCACTATGTCTGGGAAAACACACCAGCAGCTGGGCGTTGCAGTGCAGCTGTGAATACGGCCTGAATGGTGGACTGTGATCCAGAAATGGACTGAGTGACTGTTCTGTCCAGACCGAGATTCGGACCTCAGCTCGATGAAAATTTTGCTTACCAGACCTCCTTGAATTTTAATTCACTACCCCGATAGACAGTATAAAGCTCAAAATATATACATTTGATGGTTTTTGGCATAGTGGCAATTTTTCTTTTCAATGATATTAACATTTACTGAACAATTTACTTGTTTCCCGAAGATGCTTTTATTAAAGATTGATTGCTTCTTTAAACATCTGTCACTCAGAAAAGCTACAAAAATGCTAGAAGGGTATTGTATGGTAATATTTAATTTAACTAGAACCAAAATGAAGAAATGATTGGAGATTAGCTAGAAACCAACCAAAGCTTGCATTGTGCAGGATTGAAAACACTTCCTAATATCAACATCCTTTTGGCTCTTTGATGCATATGGTAGCATCTGGAATTTACTAGGAGCAAAATATATATAGGTTAGTTATAGAAATCAATGATTTCTCACAAATGAATATAAAGAAGCATGAACTCTTTCAAATCTCTCAAGAGATACAACAAAGTATACACAGATATGTAAAACCAAATATTATATACAGTAGTATAAGTATATATCAACTTATGTCTAATAGTCCATTGGAAGCTCCATTTTTATATTCTCTTCTAAATTCCAGTGAATTAATGTTGAATACTCCATGAATATCCCATGATGATTTCTTGCTTTAAACCTTTAGTGGACCATCATCTATAATTTTTCCATTTAGACAAAGCGAGCTGTTTTGCAGATTATCTTTGGCGGCCTCATCAGTAGTAGGATTGTTAATGTATGGCCTTCTGTAAATTATTCTGCACACAACTGTTGTAAGGAACATTTCCATGATCATGAGCTGCTGATTCATATCTGTAACACATGATATTCGAGAAATGTTGTTTAATGTTAATTATAGCCATTACTAATATGCCAAAAAGCAAAAAGAAAGACAAGAACTAGAATGGGAAACCAGAGATGAGCAAGTCAGACGCATTATGATTTGATTTGGAAACTTCATGACTGATGGTGATAAATCTATAGGAATGACATATACAGTATATCTCAAGGTTAATTTATCTGTGGTATTCCACTACCATTTCCAAGGTTTGTCTTGCACAATAAAATTAGGAAAATGGAAAAAAGCATCCTACCTCCAACACCCCCTGGCAAACAACAATGGATCCATAGTCATGCTGCTGCTTATATTACTAGGCAAGATGATCTCTCACTAGTGAAATACTTACTTTGGGAAGTAAAGATAAGAAGTCTTTGAGCACAGCCAAAATCTGAAGACATGAGAATGGCAAGCCTGCTTTTCTAGCAGATTCATACATTGTTTGTAGTGATCAAATAAACTATTGTAGTTTGTATGTTGTTGTATGTACTATTGTATGTAGTTATACCATTATATTTTTCAGCTGTTTGCACCAGCAGGTAGTGCTGCTTTTTAAACTATGGATTACTGTCCAGAAAAAAGTGTGGCATGCTAAACAAATCCTAATATATGAAATCCATGCAGCCAACATTTTCTTTATGTTTTTAGTCTTGGATAGAGTAGAGAAGGATTGGAAACCTTGTCAGGCTTTTATTGCCTGAAGTGAAAGTGAGGGAACATCGCAGACTTTGAGTTGTCACCAGAGCAGGAATAAATGCAAAGTCTTCCAATGTGGAAATGTAGTGGCAACCATCTAATAGAAAATTTCTCTCACTTGGAGGGATTGTCCTGTTGTGTCCATGGGACAGGAAGTAAAGGAGAATCTGTCCAATGGGAAACAGATGACAAAAATAAAGAATAAAAAACACCTGGCAAGATCTTTGGTAAAACCCTCGACTTTATACCAATTAGCACAACAGTTCAGCCACCCAATAGTCATTTTTTAGGGCCAGCATTTTGTGTGCCTCAGCAATGACTGTTCCTCTTTCCTTGTTGTTCAAAGTCTAGGCAGTGCATTATGGTTACAAAGAATTTGATCTGTCACCACGACCACAAACCTCGAACATGCTGGGTACGTCTGAAACCCATGGTGGCAGCAAATGGACCTCATTCCTAGTTTTGCTTCCCTACTGTATCCAAATCTAACAAAAAGAGTTTTGGCTTAATATAAACTTTACGTCCAAGCGATGATAACGACTTTCAAGATTCTGCAGTTCTTGCTATCACACAAACATTATAAAAGTCCTTTAAAAAATGTATGTTCGGCAGACATTTCAAAGCCTGTCCTTCTTGGTGAGACATCTACCTGTTCATGGTTGGTCTTTGGATAGCTTTATACTATAGTAATTCCTGCAGATCTCAGGTCCATCTAGATATGTTATCTACAAATGCTCTCCGTATAGCTCACATACAAGACATTAACAGTGTTATAGCCTCCTCTTTTGTTGTAGAACGATAACCAAACATCGATCACACTACCAAAGTACACAGTAGTCCTGTCTAGCAGAACCTCCCAGCAATATTGTGTGCTGGAATGAGATGATAATAGAGAAAGGACAAGAAGTAGCCAGAAAGCCTTGTCTGTGTGACAGCCAATTATGTGTTGTAGTGCTGTTGAGAACAGAGTTAAACTATCAACCACTTCTCTAGTTCCTATTATTAATATTGTTACACAATCAAACATTTTCCAATTCCCTTTGTTACAAAATATAGCATATCCACAATAACAGGTTAAAATAATGACACCTTTGACTATCATCTGTCATACAGTCTAGGTAGCATTTTCCATTTACATTGCTATGTGTTATTTCTTTTTTTTCTATTTGATTGTTTATATTGTATGTGTTTGGTCTTGAGAGTCACACTTATCTTTGTTGGGTTAAATATTATTTACACTTCTGTCCATTTTATTTATCTGTAGCACATACAATACAAAAGGCCAAGATTAGGGTCCATAATAGTTGTTTGTCTCAGGACTCAAGTCTGTTATTGAATGGTTAACAGGCTGAAAAAATTGAGCTTAAAATTAGAAAAAAAAAAGAAATAATCAGAATTGTCAAGAAAGATGTTTGCTATCTACACACTTAGAAGAATCAGGTAACAAATAAGTCTCCACTACAACATGATGTATAAGAATACTTTTAATCTTCCGAAAATGAAATAGTTTTTTCTAATTTTGGATTGGGTGATCAGTTATAAATGAAAGGTTCTTGATGGTCTGGATGGTTCTGGGAGGGGAACACAGGAAATAACCCCAAGAGTATCAAGAATAAACAGGACATCTTGTTACTTAGACTTATAAGTGCTAGATGAGGCTGTACCCCTATTTTTCACCTTACTTACACCTTGTACTTCACCCCAGTTCCAGTGTCAGACACTCCTGACACATTTAGACCACTCTTTACTGGCCTGGCAGTCATCTGTACCCCCCCCCCCCTTCCTGTTTTCACTGGTTATTGTACATTCTTTGCAACAGCCAGTGTGATCTCTAATATACAAGCAGAAATGCTGGACACATACAGACACACTACATCTATATCATCCTACAAATGTCATAGTAAAATTCATATATTTCCTCATCCATAATTCAGCCCATCCCTTTATCTTAAAGTGACATTAAACTCAGGAGTTAAATCTTAAAAATGCATTCAAGTGCCTTAACTGTTAACAAAAATGTATCTTATTTGTGTATCACTCGGCTGTAGATCCAGGTGCTCACATTGTCCTTCCCTCTGGAGGGTGGCTACTTTTGTTCCCTATGGTCCCTATGTGTATTGTAAAGTAGCCACCGCTCCAAGCTCGCTCTTGGGATGGACTACAATCGCAATACAAATAAGTAAAAACTAAACATGAGATTGTAGTCCATCACAGGAGTGAGCTTGGAGCTGTGGCTACTTGATGACTAACACACACAGGGACCACAAGGAACTAAAGTAGCCACCCTCCAGAAGTAAGGACAGTGTTAGCACCAATTCAGAGATGATATGAGGATCTGCAGCCGAGTGATATACAAATAAGATACATTTTTGTTAATAGTTAAGGTACTTGAATGTATTTTTAAGATTTAACTCCTTAGTTCAGTGTCTCCTTAGTTCAGCTTAAGAAAGGTAAGAGTGCAGATAGAGTGGAAAGTGAAAGTGGAATTGTGTGTTTTAGAGACATCATGCTGGATTCACACATAATCATTTTCTGCCCAACTCATCTTCTGAATAGAGTTTAAAAAGAACATCATTTTTGCCCATTGAGTAGATGTCATATTACATTAGTGACTCCCAGTACATATTTTTAATAGATTAATGCTTTCAAGGAAAAGTGGTTGACATGGACTCCAGTTGATAAGTATACTGCAGAAAGGGGCTAGTGGTTGGAGGGCACTGTATGGATAGGACAGCAAAAAAGGGAGGAAAACGTATTGAGTAGGGAAATAGACAGCTCTAAAGCTGGCCATACACCTTACGATTATCGTATGAAACTTTTCGTCCGATGATCGAACCATCGTACGATTGTCGTACGGCGACCCCATCCTGCCCCGATTATCGCAAGGTTCAATCAGCTGTAGTTAAAGAAAAACACCTGGACAGATTGCGGTAATCGACCGTACGTATTTTCGTTTGCACATGAGCAGTGTTAATCGTACGACTTTTGACGTACGGAAACACCACCAACCTTTGCGAAAATCGTACGATCGACTGAAGTTTTCTAACATGCAGGAAAGACAAAAGTCGTATGATTGTACAGTACTGGCGGTTGCACACTACCCATACACCTTACGATTGTCGTACAAAAGTCGATTGCATACGATTATCGTACGATAATCGTAAGGTATATGGGCACCTTAAGTATGATTTAGGGCCTATGAACTGTGGTTATGCCCCAATCAAACGAGCATACCTTTTATTTTTAATATCAGTCAAAAGCATCATGCAATATCAATTACAGTTAAATAGCAGAATTCTACTATATAAAAAGGTAATAATAATAACAATATAATACAGTATAATAGTATAATATAAAGTTCTAATACTAAAAATGTATATTGTGTGATGTAGTAAGGTCCCCTATTAAATAAAAAGTACTCACATGATGCTCTGGATGGTCCCGGGAGTGGAGGAACACAGGAAATCACCCCAACTGTTCCAAGAATATTGATGGTTGAGATTTGCAGTTGGCTTAAAATAACAATAAACTGTAGAAAAAACAAAGCAACTATAATATAATATAATAACGAAATAATAATAAAAAACACCATAAAGTATTCATATTACACAACATTTTCAAAAGTGTCAAGTAGAGAATCTAAATTAATGGGCAGAAATATAGTAGGTAAAGAGAATATCAATGGCAAAAGTTAGTAAGTAAGTAGATCTTCGTAATGTAAATGTCTTGTAGATATGCTCTCCAGGGAAATGATCTTTCCTTGTCCTGAAAATTCCTTATATATGCATTCATGAATATCTTTAACAGTGATGATTTTCTTTAGCTCTACTTCAGAATTTCTGGAACCTTTTCTCACTCCCCTACCTGAAATGATGTATGATATGTGGCTAACCACTTGGTGTAGTCTAAGTTTTTGTTGAACCAAAGTGTTCTGAAGGTTCTTTTATTGTTCTGCATCAATAATTAGTTACTAAACAAAGTTCATTCAAATGAGATAGATTCATCCAAAACCATCTACTATTTTACTATTGTCTGACATTTTATCTCTGCAGTTGTATACTTCGTTTGCCTATTTATTCCTGTTATGCTTTTGTTAATTTGAAGTGAACCTTTTTATTCCTAAAGCATGTGAACAGACTAGTGGTGTCCATAATCTGTTCTATCATCTGTTCCCAATGCGTTCCTTCTATCTGCAAAATATGCAGCCTAAGCAGACTAAACAGTGCTCTTGCTGGTATGCAAATCATGACTTTTTGGTAATAGTCAGTAGTTAAGATCTGTTGAAAGTGCCTGCTGAACACCATACAGTGTTGTGACCAGTGTAGATAAGATAGGTGCTGGAAGTGGCCGCCATGGATGGTGCCGTGCAGAACCTCACAGATGTGAAGATAGGTCACCAGCACTCCAAAATGCAAAGAGAGTATTGTTTATTACAAATAATGTGACATAGGTCAAAATTGGCAATTTTTCAGGGCCGTACAGAGTCTCTTCCTTAAGGCGACACAGTGACAACATTGTGTGGCCTTCAGAAAGCGACACTGCGTAGCCCTGAAATGTTGCCAGTTTTGACCTTTGTGACGTTATTTGCAATAAACAATACTCTCTTTGCATTTTGGAGTGCTAGTGACCTATCTTCACATCTCAGTAGCTATGATCTCACTTATATCTCTAACCACTTCACCTGGCGGCTAATATATGCTTACTATGTAAGTTGAGTCCATAAGTGGTCCATATTTGGCCACAGTATCTGTAAAAATTGAGAAAGGAAAGGGTTGCTTTAATAAAAACCTGATGCTGGGGTATGTGCTCAGTGCATAAACAGGTGTACTTACATGCTCTCAGGCCCCGTTCACACCTTTCCGTTTTGTCGGGCATTCAACGCTCTATGAACGCTCTACAAAACGTACAACCATGAAAATCCCATTGTTTTCTATGGGCATGGTTCACACCTTTCCGTATTTCCGCCCGTCTGAACGCCCTACAAAACGGCTGACGCCCAAACAAGTGCATGTACTTCTTTGGCCGTTTTGGAGGGCGTTTTCCATTGGGATACAGCCAAGCAGCCTTCAGAATCGCGCGACGATCGCGCAATTGTTTTACCGCGAATCGCGGTAAAAAAAACGTGCGACGGTTGCGCGACAGACGTGCATACGTAAAACACCTAGGTGTGAACCCAGAGTCAAACATGAGATGCAAATGCCCAATCTGTCTGCTTTTAGGTCTATGGGCCCGAGCATGCCAGCTGACTTTCCTAGTCCATCCTAGAATTAGCTAGGTTAGAAAACCTGTCCTGATAGATATTATTCCATCCCTGTGATAAGCAGTATCAAAGGGATGAATAAGTACAATTGTCACTGTCTGCACTTCAGCCTTCTTCCCAGAACCCACCGAATTTTTGACAGCTGCCATGTAAGAGTTGTGCCTAACAGCGGTCAGATAACACTGGCTAACTCAACTACTTTTAAAGGTTTATGAGCACTTTATGGCAGAACAAGTGTTTCTGGTTGTGTTTATCTGTCAGTTACCATGTTCACATGTCCAGCAGCCCTCTTATATCAATGCTTATAAGGGGTTAAGTAACCTCTGCACAAGTCTTATTACTTTTCAATAACTTACCTCATAAGCAGCAAATTTGGCAATAATATTCTTATCTCCTAAGACAGATTTGACGAGATTGAACAAAATTCCAACTGCCCAGAGTGCAGTGAGTGTAACCACTCCGAGAAGCACACTGAAATAAATCGTAGCAGATTGTGCACGTGACTGCAAGAGAATATATTATAGAAGTCATTTTTCTAGAATTATTACACAATGATGCCACAAATAAAGGAACGATCAGTGATCTCTAATAGCGATTCAGAGTAGAAAATGTCTAACTTGAAGCACAATATCAGGCTGAGGTGCTCTGACTAGGGTCTCTTCCCTCCCTTTATTTTTTCTCTCTTCTTCTCTGTCCCTCCTCCCCCTTTCTCCTTCCCCTTCCCCTATTGATGCTTATAAACAGATCCCGGTCACTAATCCCCATGTGTATCTGTGGAGTTTGTCAATTTGCACTGTAGTGGCGGGACATCTTTAGCAAGTATGCACGAGTTCTTCCTCGAGTTATCATGTGGGGATACTCTGGGGATACAGTTTACTATTCCTTTGGGATATTGCGCTGAATATTTACCTGGCTTCACTTGTTGTACAAAGCTCTTCATATATATATATATACGTGTTAATTATGTTTATTGTCTCAATAAACTTATTTCTTGGAAAATCATTCTCGAGCTATAGAACTGACGTGTGACAACTGCAGTGTCACACCTCAGCTCTAACTATGGGGAGGAGTGTATTTAACTCTCCCCATAGTTCTCCTTTAATAAATAGGGCTAAAGATAGAGACAACAACTTTTTTTGCTAAGATGACTGAGCTGTCAGGGGAACACCTTAGAACGCTAGACACCTGAGGGCTACTCTAGGGAATATGATCTGTTAATCTCACATAACCTGCGGATTGCGAAGGTCGTTATACAGCCCTGAGCTGCCCACAAACCTTCAATGGTTTGTGATGTTTGCTAAAAAATATTTTTTCTGGCGTACAATGATTATAGTCAGTGCTAGACTGCGCATTAATAAGCAAATACAGCCAAACTGAACACGTGTTCAGCAGTACATCCTATCATTTAATGCTGTTAAGTGTTGGATAAACAGGCCTGAGCTGATGATACCAGAGGGTTTCACATGACTCAAAAGCAAGTGTAGCTGCTGTATAGATAAATACCTTTTTATAACAGTCCCAAATTAATAGAGTAGGTCCTGTTTAATTTGCATCAGATGTCACTTACCTACACAGCAGCCATACTTAATGCAGGTACCAATGAACCCTATGACCGGCATTATTTTAAAGGAGTTCTAAAGTATATATCATCAGCATTGTAACAGGAATACATACTATAGTTGTTTTTGATGAAGCGATCAAAGCTTACTTGAAAAAAAAAATCCCTATTATGTAGAGCAGAGGCAAGCAGATTTCGGCCTTCCAGCTGTAGTAAAACTACAAATCTCGTTTTGCATCTGCCTCTGGGAGTCATACCTGTGGCTGCCAGAGTCTTGCAATTAGACATGTAAACTGCAGAAAAATTCGGTTTGGTTCGGATGTTTCGGGATTCAGATGCGAAATTCAATTCATTCGGATTTCGGATTCAGAGGAATTCCAAATTTTCGTTCGTTTCGGAGGAGTTTACGAATATTCGTTGCAAATACCACAGAAAATCATATGCAGATATTAATACTAAAGCTGAATCTCCTAGACCCGAATGGCATTTGGGATCCGAATTGCATTAGGGAGCTCCAGAATGCCATTTGGGTCTGGAAGCCATATACATATATAACTAAAGCCGAGGCTCCCAGACTCGAATGACATTCGGGAGCTCCCTAATGCAATTCAGAAATTCAGATCCCAAATGCCATTCGGGTCTGGGAGCGTCGGATTTAGTATCATATGTACAATATATACTGAACACGAATTTTCATTACGCCAACATATGAGCCATATACCATATGGCTCCCATGTTGCCGTATCGAAAATTCGTGTTCAGACCCTTTCGGATGCATTAAACCAAAAAACACATCTGATTGGCCAGAAAAGTCACAGGTTCGATTCAGTTTACTTTTTGAACAAAATTCAGACAGGATACGAAATTTAGAAACGCAAATTCCAATTCGGATGCATTGGGATTCGGAAAATCAGATGTTTTCCAATGTCAGAATTTCGGAAAATTCGATCAAATTTTGATTCGGGACGAAAAGAATCGCACATCTACTTGCACTGCCTAATGAGATTTGTAGTTTCACCACAGCTGGAGTGCTGAAGTTTGCCTACGCCTGATGTAGAGAGTGCTGCCCCCTGTCTGCCCATCACTTTCAACAAGTTCCCGGTCTCGCAGATTGCTTTGCGTCTCTTTCTCTGCTGCTTGATGTAATACGATCTTGATTTCTCAAGACTACACAGCCCATCATGCATTGCTTTCAGCAAGCAATGATAATGTTACATTGTTCAGATGTCGTGTTGTAGTTCAGAAGGCAGGCTCTGTGAGAGCTGTGGCACTAAAAAGTGCATATTCACAGGGCTTCAGAGTGTCATTGTGTCACTGTAAACGCAAGTGAGAGTACAGCCTATGGGCATCTTCAAAGGGTAAGTTTACCAACTTATTAGGAGTGGGATAGAACGTATGGAAATTCTCTATAGAAATACATATTTCCTTTTCGCTTTTGACCACAGATACCCTTTAATTCTTCAAACAAAGCAAAGCCGTGTATATTTAGCCTTAGAAGATCAGCCAGTAAATTACTCACATCACCAAGTGTGTAAGTTCCATTAGTCCAAAGAACAACTTGCAAAAACATAAGCACTGGCCGAAGCAGTGCAAGCTGAAAGGTCCCCAACTTCAGGACAAATAAGGTAACCCTGTATAATTGGAAACAACGTTAGTCTTGTATCTCTTATTTTTGATATTCCTTATGTTAATTCCTCAGGGCTTCTTCATACAGAAAGCGTGTGCGTTCCAGAGCGGTAGCTTTTTAGGTCGGGAGGGGGCGTGGCGTGCATTGAATTCAATGGCACCACTTCCACGCCCCCCACCCCCCCCCACCCGCATTGTGGTCGAACGTGTGGCAAAACTTTGCCAGCGTTCCATTCTGGGGGGGGGGGCGTGGAAGCGATGCCATTGAATACAATGCACCGCCACGCCCCCTCCCGCCCCAAAACGCAAGGGGAAGTTTCTCAGCGGTCGCGGTGCGTTCCAGCAGCTACCGCTCTGGAGCGCACACGCTTTCGGTGTGAACGAGGCCTAAGGCTAGCATACTAAAGAATTGACATTTCTTTGCACAGTTGATACATTTTAAAGCCTTGTATCTTTTTTTTATATTTTTGAGTAGGAAAATAGATAAGGGAAATTAGAAAGAAAAATAAAGACAACTGGAAACACTGGTAGAAAAGGGAGTATACTCTGGTCTGGTTTTAAAGCACCTAAGGAGTTAAAGCCGAACTTCATGGAAACGTTTTCTTAACTCTTTCAGTGGGGCTACCCCTGCACTGCAAGGGATTAGTGCTCATTTTTAACACGGTAAAAAAAAAAAACGTTATCCACCCGATCATCTGAGCCGGCTTGCTCTTAGACTGCTCCCTCCAGTCTCTCTCCTCCTACACTGCAGCAATGGCATGTCCCTCAGCGTTTTGGTATAAGGGACCTTTTACCGCTGCAGCAGAGGGGGAGAAAGTCTGGAAGGACCGGTCTAAGAGCAAGCTGGTGCCAAGGATCAGCTGGGTATATCCTTGTTGTTTTTGAACCTAGACAAAAATGAGCACTTAGCCCTTGCAGTGTGGGGCAGGGACGTGTGGTCTGGGGAGGCAGGTGAGGCAGAGCCTCACCTAGTACTATGAAGGAAAAAGCTGTCAGCTTCAAGTCTGAAGCTGACAGCTTTTTCTCCATTCAGAGCGGCTTGTTACAGGTTACACAGCAGGGAAAGCCTCCCCGCTGTGTAACCTGTCATGGAGGGAGCGATGCCTGTTAATTACAGGCGCCGCTGCATCCGGCTTTTGACAGCTAAGTTAGGTTACACAGCAGCGGGCTTCCCCACTGCTTGTGTAACCTAACCTAGTGAGGCAAGAGCTGCAACAGCCTCTACTCTATGTTAGAGTCTTGAGCTCTGTGGATAATTTGGACCAATGGCAAAGCGCCATTGGTCCAAGCTGTCCAATCAAACAAACAGAGGGGAAAAAAACCACTGAGGACATCGATCTCAATGCCTCACCAGTGATGAACAAGTGAGGGACAGGGAGGCTCCTCCCTGGCTCCTCCCTTCTCCCTCCTCCACACATAGCTAGATGACTGGGTTGGGGGCGGGGCATTGGCAGGTTGGGGCAGTACTGAGGCGGGCAGGTGGAATGCCTCACCCAGCACAGAACACACTGCACATCACTGGTGTGGGGGTAGCTCCACAGCAAGTGTTAAGGGAAATTTTCCCTGGCGTTCTGTTGTAAGGCTGAGTTCACACCTGGGCGTTTTTCAGCGCTGATCCAAGTGCTGAAAAACGCTCAGCAAGTGAAATCCCATAATTTCCTATGGGCATGGTTCCCACCTGTGCGTATTTGAAAAACGCCCTATGCCCAAACAAATACAGGAGCTTCTTAAGGGCGTATTTCAGCGCGTATCCATTGGTATTCCCGAGTGTGGCTCGGGGTTAACAAAGCGGTAACCCCGAGCCACACTCAGGAATACAGCGTACAGGTCTTACCTTGTCTGCAATCCCCGCTGTGTCCTCCGGCCGCTGCCGTCTTCCGGGTTCCGTCCCTTGCGAGTGGACACGTCGCAGGGGGGCGGAACCGGCGGGAAGTTTGAAAGTAAAAAAAAAATAACAGAAAAAAAGATAGAGAAAATAAATGAAATTTTTTTTAAAATCATAGCGCCAGGGAGGTATAAAAACGAGCGCCGAACGCGCGTTTCACTGAACGAAAAAACGTGCTAAAAAACGCTCTAAAAACGAGCTGACAAACGAGCTGAAAAAACGCGCCTATAGTACGCCCAGGTGTGAACCCAGCCTAAGTGATCAGTCACATTTAATGCTATTAGTAATTGTACCTGAGCCAAAGTCAGCAATGTTGGAAATACAACAGCTAGAGATCTCACTGCTTCATCTAAACATATAACCAACAAGCACGACCTTATATAACCTTTGTTCTTTTTTAAACCAGTCTTTCGTAGTAAAAGGGTTTGTTTTTTCCCCTACTGTTTAATGGGTGCAATTTGATTTATTTAGAATTAAAATACTTCTAGTTTTGCATCATAGTTTTCATCACCAATAGCTAAGCATTATTCATACTATGGGTGATGCTTTAAACCCTTGGCTTTTTCACATGGTGAGTCCATTTTTTTTTATTTTGACAAAGTTTACTATAGAGCCCTCTTCCCAAGCCACAAATTTTCTGAGAACCTATTGGAAAAAAATACTATTCTTACTTGTGTACATTGCACTCTACAGTATGTCTGAAAATGTTTATTAAAACTACATTTTCAAAAATCAAAAACAAGAATATGATTGACCCCCAAACCAGAATATTACCTGCAAAATGACCACTGTATTAAAAGGCCAAATTGTGTTGGATTACTAAATAAATGTGTCCAGGCATAAAGGTACTGTAGCTAAAGTGTTTGAAAAATTCTGTACCTTTATTTTCAACGCTACAGTTTTCACTTATGTGGTTTCCAGCAGTGGGTTCTTAAGTGCCCACACACACTTTGCTGTTCTGCTGCGTTGGGTTAGCGTGTATTATTTTGCTTATAATGTGCATAACATCAATTAAATGGGCTGCCAACAAACCGGAATGTACAAAAACATTAGACATGTACCATTCTTTGCAACGCGGTGCACTACAATGCCCGGTAGTGTGTTATCCTGCATTGCAGTGCTTTCCGTTGCAGGTTGGCAAGGTATGTTTGGGTGCCATTAAAAAATGAATGGCACCACATTGCACATGTATGTTACTGCACCTCGATAGTGCGAATGGGCCCTAAATCTCTTGTTGCAGGTCATCTGTAGTTTCCATAAGGGAAAGTTGTTACACAGTGCAATCCATGTAAACAGACAATAGCTGCATTATACTTGACTTAACAAAAAAAAGATCCCTCCCTTCCCTCTCTCAATTCATTATAAGGTTCACTTGTGGTCAAAGCCCCACTGATACGTATCCAAGAATCGAGATGATGGACCTGCCTACAATGGCCTGGGGTGTGCAAAAGTAAAAGGTAACTAAAAAAAAGGGGGTGAGGCAGGTGGGATGACGGCCACGAGCCACAGGTGAGAGTGGGAGAAGGAGCAGTTTAAATGTGTGGGGCTCCTCCCACAAATCCGGCTAATTAATTAGCCTACCACTTAAAATAACTAATAAAAATGCATTTAGGAACAGATGTGTGAACGGGCCCTTTAGGGAACATACATGTTTAGCATACCTGTTAATATTTGTCCGTGGCAAGCACACACAACAGCAGCAAAGTGGGCCTGTGTGGAGCTGAAGTTTTTGTGTTTCAAACCTCTTCAGGAATGCTCTTCTCCCACCACATTCATTTACCAGCATGAGTTGAAACTGGTGTATAACAATAGCAAGAATCCTTTAATAAGAGTAAAAAAAAATATTATTTATAGTGGGGTGCCATAACTATAGAAAAAAATTAAACTTTTATAGAATTTTTTTTTCTAATTGCAGTGTTATCAACAGTAATAGAAATGTATTCTCTGCTGAAGCAGGAAGGAACATAATGTCCTTACCTCCACTCTATTCAAGCCTGAACCGGCAATCTGGCAGCTCTGGCAATCAGATAAGTTAAATAATTGTTTTCCCCCAACGGCCACTGTGGTTGATGGGCTTGTTCCTCCTTTTGGTGACATACAAGCCAGCTGGAGAAACTACAGTGGCCCTAGGGCAGGGGGGAGGGTGAAGAAATAATTCTACACACCTCACACCTAGAGATATAGAATACTTGCCATTGCTGGGGAGCGTGGAAGGGGCAGCTTTTCCATACACAAGCAAGTATTTCCACGTTTCTTTTACAGATGAGCTATTGGGTAAAAGTGGTGACAGTGTTAAAGCTGAACACCAACATCTGGGGGGTACAAAAAAATTGGGTGATATATGTACATTATACCTCTTTACCCCAGCAGTTGGCACTCTTCACTACTCCCCAATGCTCCAACCATGTGGATGGGCCCTCGGCATCCTCACATACAATGTATTGCATTGTAAACACGCATTAAGGTGCAAATACTGTGTTACCACAATGTACTGGAGTCTAACATTGCACTAGCCTGTAACTTTCAGAGTTTCATTTAGTGCAGTATGACCCAGGGGTACGGGGGTGTTACTGTGCGTGCGGTGGGGGTGTGGGTGGGTTATTGATGTATTGATTTATTTTTTCATCTGTTTTGATCATTTTTACACTCAGGTAAATTACATCATGTAGGTGAAACTGGAAACTATGATTTTGCCCTAAATTTTGCCCTAAAGAGGAACTTTACATTTTTCTTTAAAATGACAACAATGGCACCTTTAGAAATGTTTAGTAATGACAATCCACAAACGGATACTTCTAGGCATCTTTTATTCTTTGCACACCTCATTTTTATTTTCCTCCCCAGTCTTCTTACAATGGTAATTTTTATTAAGGGCAGATAAACTCATCTCCCTTTACTTCCTGGAACTCTGGCACATGTGACTAGGACATGTGACCATGCACATCATCTCAGGGGAGGAAAATGCCTTTCCCTGAGATCTCATGAGATTTTGCAGTTTACAGAATAGATTTTCCAGCAATGCACTGTGATGTAACCTTCCCATGGTGCATCTCTCAGGCATGGGCTACATCACTAATGCCTAAGATGACCAGGAAGTGAAAAACCAATAATTCTAAGTAAAATAAAAATATGTTTGTTTACCTAATGAATGTAAGATGATTTTATATCAGCATGCAGAGCTGCACTCTGATATGATTTTTAGAAAAAGGGGGTTAAGGTCCACCTTAATGCTTGAAGAATACACTGTGCTCCTGAAACACTGACCGTAGAAAATGCATAACAATATCAGAGATATGAATATATATCAAGATCCTTCCCATACATACACAGAAGCAGTGAAGTCTGTGAACATAGTACTCCTAGGAATCCACATTCCCACACATGATGTTACAGCAATTATCTGCAAACACAAAGACAAGATTGTATTTAAAAAAAAAAACCCATACATTGCAGACAATCAGACATCTTTCATTTTCTGATATATCAGATTAAAGTATTTTGGCTCACTGATCACTATCGTTAGGTGCTTATTAGGGGCATAATATTTCTACTCCAAAGGGATCATATGGATTCAATTGCTAAAGGTCTTGGAGTTTAGACAAAGATCCATGTAAAGACATTTTTACATAAAATATACAGGGTGTGATATAAGTTTTTTATATGCCTGTCAGTTGGTATATGTAGGCCAAACAACCCACCAGGAATGTATCAGAATTAACAAACACAAAAATTTAATTTACATATTTCTACAAGGAAACAGGAAGATTTTTCCTCCTTGCATGATAAGAAATAGTAATGAGCATTAATCTAGAAGTAAGTTCATTGACGCATCTTTTATAAGACTTTTCAAGAACTGTAAAAAACCTGGGACTCTCTGGCTGGCATCGCGCCCAGCTCCTGGCAACCAGTGACGTCACTGGTTGTGAAAAGCTGGGTTGGAAGCTAGGGGCGCAATTTGTTGTAGATACGCCTCTGCTGATGGCAGCTATAACATTTTGTATGGTTTGGGATTTCCAATCAATTTCTGTTTGACAGAAGTCACCAGTAAAAATCATGGGGGGGGGGGTGGTCATAGACACAGCGATAAAAACCTTAAAAATGGTTTAACCCTGCCATGCAAACATAGAAAAACAGGTATATGACCTGGAATAAGAAATGGCCTGCACAACCACATGGCTTATATGCCTGGCAGGTTGGACTTTTATCTTTTGGGGATGGGGCTCTTTTTTTAACTTTTGGGGAAATAAAAGAAAAGAAGCAACAGCAGTTTCAAACCTGTCAAATAGAGCTGGGTGACCTGCCAGGTTTGTAACTCTGCTCATCTCTAGTCTTTGTGTACCGTCAATAAAGGACTTAAAATGATATCAGTTGTACTTACTGGAGCACCGGCATTTAACCAGATGATGATTGATTTTTTGTTTCCAGGGATATGGTTGTATAGATAATATGCTTCTTCTATGAACACTATCACTGAAACTGCTGTCATAAATGTTAGAATGGCAAACAGCAACTGTCCAGTGGTGTCAAGTCCTAGGAAATAAAATAACAGAATTATAATAACACTAGTGCAGTGGTACATTTCTGTAACAATAGTTAATCAATATACATAATGGTGATATATACCAGGTACAACTGTATTTATTATATGAAAATAGGTCCATGACTCTTGGGATTCAACTGAGAAAAGGTTATTTTCTGCAATACTTCCAGGGCCAGATTTCCATTTCGGGCACCTGTATGCACAAATGGTAATCTGCTTAGCCTGAGCCAGTGCCAGTGGCATAACTACTGCCACAGCGACCCACGAGGTCGCTATGGGGCCCAGGGCAGAGGCAGGCCAGGTCAGCAGGCCAGGGCCGAGCAGCAGAGGTGTAAGAGGCCGGGGCCCAACATCGCCAGTCCAGCAGCGGAGGAGGAGAAGGCCAGGGCCCAGCAGTAATGGTCGGGCGATGGAGGTGAAGGAGGCCGGGGCCCAGCAGCGGATGGATCGAAAGGCAAAGGGACCCCAAACAGCCTACCTGAAACCCTGCAGAGCCCATTATAAAGATTCTCAGGTAGGCTAAGCAGGGTCTCTGGTATGTGTGGGGTCTCAAGTGGGCTTTGCAGGGTCTCGGGTGGGCTGTGCGGGGTCTATGGTGGGCTCTGTGGGGTCTATGGTGGGCTATGCCGGGTCACTCTCAGGTGGGCTGTGTGGGGTCTCATGTTAGCTGTGCAGGGTCTGTGGTATGTGCGGGGTCTTAGGTGGGCTCTGCAGCATCTCAGGTGGGCTTTGCAGGGTCTACGTTGAGCTTTGCAGGGTCTCAGGTGGGCTCTGCATGGTCACTCTTAGGTGTGGTCTGCAGGGTTACTTTAAGATGGGCTTTGCAGGGTCACTTTCATGTGGGCTCTGCAAGGTAACTCTCAGGTGGGCTTTGTGGGGTTTCAGATGGGCTCTGCAGGGTCTTTGGTATGTGCTGGGTCTCAGGTGGGTTGTGCAGAGTCTATGGTGGGCTGTGCGGGGTCTAAGGTGGGCTGTACGGGGTCTCCGGTGGGCTCTGCGGGTCTAAGGTTGGCTCTGCATAGTGATCTCTTCTTCGGCTCTGACGTCAGAGTGAGCAGGAAGAGAGCCGAAGAGAAGAAGATAGTGCAGGCATGGGAACTTGTTCTGGAGGTAGGTACTTTTTTTGGTGGGGCAGTTTGGGGGGCCCCAAACAAAATTTGATTTCTAGTTACACCTCTGGCCGGCACCCTTACCTGCTCCAAGACCCGCCGGCTTTCACATATGCCGAGAAGGACCCCGTTGTCGCGTAAGGCTATCTTTACAGGGCAGGGCCTTACACAGTCCCAGGGTCCTTCCTCTGCATTTGGGGAAGCCGGCGGTTCCTGTAGGCACCGTTGGTCTTGGAGCAGGAGGGTGCATTTTAAATGCTATTGTCGGTGTATCTTGACACAACACCAGGAATTAGGTAGAGTAGGTACTTGCACAGTGCCCCTTTATTGAGGGCCCCTGTAGGTACGTGCCTAATGGTAAATCCAGCCCATAAGATGACTGACTTCAGAGAACACAAGGGTACATGGTATTTATAAGCGTTGGCTCCTCTGGGGGACCATGACCACGGCATAGGAGCTCACCACAGAGCCCCTTGAGCAGACGAAGAACGCCGTTCTTCGCCTGCTCTGTATGATTACTGAGACCGTGGCGCTGTAATCACAGCACCACCTGTCTCAGCGGTCACTAACTGCAGCTTCTGTCACAGAATCCCTGTCACAGAATCCCTGCGTCCTATGGTCTGGAGTGCCTTATAGAGCGCAAAATACGGTATATACACTAAAAAACAGAAGAGCTGAAACATAAATAAAGCATTGAATATATGTAATTACCCTTTCTGAAAGGTTTGTGTGGTTTTTTTTAAAGTCACATTTCCTGTCAGCTGAACAGTAGTCCTAAAAAGTGCCTTTTACAGCATTGGACTCTGTGTCTAATTACAAAACACTCCGGAATCCCATCAGAGTTGGGCAGATTGTTCAAGAGAAGTAAGGAGCCTGGGCTTGGTGCTGCTGAGTTCACCTGAGTGGGCCCGAGCCCGCAAAGTATCCTGGCATGTGATGGACTACAATCTCAATACAAAAGAGTAAACCAATCATGAGACTGTAGTCCATCCAAGGAGCGAGGTTGGAACTGTGGCTACTTTACAACACACACAGGGACCATGGGGAAAAAAAGTAGCCACCCTCCAGAAGGAAGGACAGTGTCAGCACCAATTCAGAGATGATTTGAGGATCTACAGCTGAGTGATACACAAATTAGATACAGTGTTGTTAATAGTTAAGCTACTTGAATGCATTTTTAAGATGTAACTCCTGAGTTTAGAGTCCCTCCAATTGTAAAAAAAAAAAAATATCTAAACGTTTTTAAACGCTTTCCAATATAAAGCATACATGAGATGTTTATAAAGAAAGCTGGGGTTTCTCTTTTGTTATATATGTATTCACTGAAATCAGTTCTTATAGTAAGAATAGTAAAATAGCGATAGTATTTATGATTTAAAGATTTAACTCAATATAGTGGCGTATTTCATCATATCTGGTTAATGCATCAGATTGTGTCTCTACTAAATGTATCTAATGGACACCGAGTGGAATACAACAAGGGTCAATTGCAAACAATTGCAATGCTAAATCGTAAATAATTGAATGTCACAAAGATCAGTGGCATGGATCGTTTGTGCTGATGCTTTATGTGATAATTGCAGACTTTGTGCACAGGCAGCTTTTAGCATTGCCCACTTTCATAGGTTTATAGATTTTTGCTAACATGTTCCTTCTACATTATTTTTTGTTTTTTTTAATCTGAAACCCAAACCTGATAAAAATTAAGAATCCATTCCCCACCAATGGATAGTAATATAATGTGTAACATAATCTGGGCCTGCAAGCTTTTTTTAAGTTAGCTTTTTTTCTTTGAGGGCCTTTTTACACCATGTCCAGACCAGATCTGAATACGTTTCTGCAAACGCATTGCCATGGGCTTTCAGGTGCGGTCCAATGTGTTTGCATGCCTTTTTGTGCATTCCAGACCAGAAAAAATATGACATGCAGTACTTTTTTGAAAATACTCGAACTGAATGCAATGGTGCAAACTAAGCTCAGAAATACCATAGGAATAGGTTTTTGGACCAGACATAAACGTTCTGGTCTGGATCTGGTTTGAACACGATGTGAAACAGGATAATTCCACCTTTTCCAAAAAAATTATAAATGCACGTTTCTTCATAAAAGAACAAATAGGCACTTGTTATTTTTTTGCATAGGAGAAAGTAAAGCATTGAAACCGTGATGAGTGGATGCTCTGGCAATGCAATGCTCTGGCCCCTGCAGACTGAGGTAGGGACATGCAGTAATATGAACAGGAGGAGGAGTCAATTGAATTTTGTGGTGATGTTACTGCACTTGTATTCTATTGAAACTACAAGTCCCTCTGACGCGGTGACTGAAGGGACTTGAAGTTTCTCCATTCACAGATCATGTGACAACAGCAGCAGGCTGCAGGGAGAAGAACCCGACGATTCAGGTGAGTGGGGGGTCAGAGTGGGTGGGTGTTCTGCTATCTGACCATGTTTCATGTTACACCCTCAATATGGCTGCGACATTAAACATAGTCAGAAAGTTGCACTTAAATTTTAAGTCAGTCCATTCTTAAATACAGTTAGTTATTATTATTATTATTATTATTATTATTATTATAGTTTATTCATACTTAGCCATTTTATGCCATAGCACTTTACAGCAGATAGTACAGAAATCATAGATATATTTTAAGAACAGTAATGCTCTGTTTACATCTATATGTGTTGTGGGCGTAGGACATTTTATATGCTTCCCGTTCACCCCCATTTAGTGTGCATTTTACAGAAAAAAGGCACCAAAGATACAGCAAGCAGGACTTTTATTCAATGCACCACAATGAACACATGGCCTGCCTCAACAGGATTTTAGTTCACCTCGGTACTGCTTCTTTTCCCAAACAAGTCAATCAGCATGCAAAAGCAGCTTCACCAGGTTGAAAAGGCTTAGAAGTAGGTCAAATGCAGGTCAGAAGGAGGTTACTTGCAAGTCAAAGGACTCGAGATAAAAAATAAAACAAGTTAATCCAGTTATGTTTTTACCAGAAAAATCAGTAAATGTAGCAGTGGCATAACTTTAGCCGTAGCAGCCCAGGCGGCTGCTATGGATCCTGGGGGTGGGAGCAGTGGTGTATTTAGTTTTTCTGCTGCCCTAGGCAGGACTAAACTCAGGCACCCCCAATCTAAATTTGCCCCACCCCTTCCTGTTTAAAACATTTTGTGTAACCTATCAGTTGCTGGATACAGCCCACCTGAGACCCCACATAGCCCACCATAGACCCTACACAGCCCACCATAGATCCTGTACAGCCCACCTGAGGCCCTGCAAAGGCCTACCATAGACCACGCACATCCCACCTGAGACCCTGCACAGCCCACCATAGATCCTGCACAGCCCACCTGAGACCCTGCACACCCCACTACAGACCCGCAAAGCCCACCATATATCCTGCACAACCCACCGGAGACTCTGGTGGGCTGTGCAGGATTTATGGTGCAGGTCCTCAGGTGGGCTGTGCCGGGTCACTTTCCCCGCACACATCTTACCTGCAACTCCCCAGCCTCCCTCTGGGATATCCCACAATCAGATCGTGGGGTATGGGCATCCCAGAGCAGAGCTAAATATCCCAACATGCCTCCGCCACTGGGAGTCATGTCTGGAAGGGTCAGTCTTGCAATGCTTAATAGGATTGTAGTTGGGCTGGGCCCCTCTCACATCTCTTCTGTCTGCACAAGCTATGTAAAGCACAGTGATTATGTCACTGCTAATTTTACAAGGTGATAATTGGGTTTTCAAAGGCATTTGGTGCACACAAAGTAAATTAATATCCTGTGTGGCTATGGATGGCTGGAGTTGCCCACCCCTGCACCCCTATATCACTGATTACTATGTAGCGTCCGACATTCTGAGAAGTGTTGTTTCACTGG